TTTGTTATACAATATATTTGAGAAATAATAAATTATTATTATTATAGAATTTTAATACAAATTCATTGTTTAGTATAAAGAGAGTTGACTGTAGAGAGAGAGAGCGAGAGAGAGAATGATACTATTGGGTAGAAATACCTGTTTATAGTCAAGCATTTCTCTTATGTAACTAACATTACGTTTTTAGTGGTCGTCGACAACACGACTGCTACACAAAACTATAGGAAATTTAATTTTTTAAAAGTTATTAAGTTTTTTATATGATTTAAGAAATTGTTATATACCATGTATTTAATGACAAAACATATCATAAACTGTTTGCAAACACACATCACATCTTATAGTAAAAGTGTGTTTTTATAGTGAGAGTACATTCAAATGACAAGAATAAAGCAAAACATTTCATATTCTTTGACTCTAATCTTAATGTTAAGGTCAATGAAATAGCTTTTTATATTTGCTTTCAGCTATTCTTCAAATAATAATTATTGACTGAACTAAACATTTGGCAACTTTTTCAATATAATTAACGTTTAATATCAATGGCATTACAAGAATCTACTAATATATTAAAACAGTTTTGACGTGTTTTTTTCTAAATTCATATCAAATATGCAATTGAAATCAATGTTCAAACAAACCACTTATACATGAATGTTTGGCATCAGTGTTTGGATTCCTCTTAATAAATACATTTATTGTTTTAACGATTTTAATTTTGTCATCAATTAAAGTGTAATAAAAAGTTAGATTTGATTTTTAATAATAATTTTTTTGATCACACAAATAAATATAATTCAAATTAAAAGTTGATATTTATATTAAAGTTTGCGTTAAACAAATGATTGTAATATTGTATTTTAGACGTGATTTTTTACTCAAATGTTAAATGTTTATATCATTTTCCATTACATTTTTATTAAAAAAGTTTTGTTAACAAATTTTGTGGTTATGTGTTAATAAACTAAATAATGTTTTTTATTATGCTAAAAATAATGCACCCTGATAATATTTTGTTTGAGATTAGTTTAATTATTTAATATTATTAGGAATACAACAGTTAATTAGTGATATAATTAATTATATGAAAAGGAAATGTTTAAGTGTTTTAATCAATCTGATAATTATATAACAAAATACTATTATATTCTGCTGATGTAAGTAAATTAATAAAAACATAGATAATTCAGTTTATTCACTGCCTTAATATTAACATTTAAATAACTTTAGCTTAATTCCATCGATGGTAATGTCTTTAAGCTCACATCATATATGCAATCGGATCCCAAGTCTGACAGCAAAGCAAATACAAATTTGTCAACAAATGCCTCAATCGTTATCTATTATCAGTTATGGCATAAGACTGGCCTCCGATGAGTGCCAGAGACAGTTCCGTCACAAGAGATGGAACTGTACTCTAATGAATGGCAACAATATATTCACTCATATCATGTTTAGGGGTAAGATGTTATAATCTTTTAACAATTAATTATTATAAACTATCACGTATTTTAATATTTTTTAGCACATTTCAAATTAATTAATGTTTCCTTATAAGTTACAACTTATAATAATTGATTAAAAAATTAAAACTGTATTGAAAAACTTTGTTAAAATAATTACTATAGTTTAAAATCATTACATGTTCTAAAAATATCATCATAATCAAGTTAGAAATATTAATATTAAGAAATACAAATTTATGCAATAATTTAAAACGATATGAATTAAATTCAAATTCAAATGTTGCTAAATGTTGTCTTAAGGAAGTCGTGAGGCCTCGTATACACACTCAATACGTTCAGCCGGTGTTACGTACGCCATAAGCGAAGCCTGTAGTCGGGGTAACATATCTTTCTGTAGTTGTCACCACATCGGGTCCGATGGCCGCACAAAGACTAACTCGGACTCATGGCAGTGGTCGGGCTGTACGACTAATATCGCGTACGGCATTAAATTAGCCAAAAGTTTTATGGATTCAACTAATGATAATGAGAAGAGGGATTCGCGAGCGATCATGAATTTGCATAATAACAACGCCGGCAGAAAAGTAGGCAAAAATATCATTCGTGTATTTATTAAACAGAAACCTATTGAAAAATATTTGTTATATTTGTTTAACACTCGCATTGAACCCGAAGTGTGTGAAGGATCTATTGGTGTCGCGGTGTAAGTGTCACGGCGTGAGCGGCTCGTGTACAGCGCGCACGTGTTGGAAAGTGTTGCCCCCCTTTACCATCATCGGTGACCAACTCATGAAGAAGTACTCCAATGCCAAACGAGTGGCACTGCATTGGCGCCGACGTAAAGGTATCTCATATACTAAGAAAAAGCAGCCATTCTTTCTGAAGATGCGGCGAATCTCGTCCAACGATCGACACATCGATTTAGTACCAAAATCACGAGATTTGGTGTATTTGGAGAAATCAATTAACTATTGCAATAAGAATCCAGTGATGGACTCATTGGGAACGAGTGGCCGGCACTGCAATAAGTCGTCCGATGCGGAAGACGGCTGTCAGTCCATGTGTTGCGGCCGCGGATACCGTACACACGAGTCGGTGACCAAATGGAAGTGTCGCTGCCGTTTCCACTACTGCTGTACTGTTACCTGTAGTGAATGCTTACAACACAGACAAATACATGTTTGTAAATAGAGAACTACCCATTCTCATTTTATAGATTAGAAATTATAGTTATTTATCACTCCATTCAGTAAAATATCTACGAATTCTTTAGTAATATAAAGAACTTTAGGTATAATTTTTTGAAAATTATGGCACAATATTTTTATCACCAAACATTTTTAACCAAACCTAATATTTATATAAAACCAAATTTATCTATATATTTGTTGAATGTATAAAATGTTTGCATAAAATTACAACTCATTATTAAATCAATGCTCAAATTTTCCCCTTTAAAGCATTTGGGCTTTGATTTTATAGTTCAATCTTTTGATAAACAGACATGTAATTGAGAGAGAAAAGTGTTTACGAATTGATTGGAAAGTACGAGATATGGATCGCTTGGAAGCGACCAAACATACGACCCATCACTCCATCAAACTATCCAAAGATGGGATGACNAGAGAGAGAGAGAGAGAGAGAGAGAGAGAGAGCCTAATCGTTAGGTCTGGCGTTGAATTAATTATCGTAAATATCCCCTAATTATAACTTTTTCATTTGCCATATCTTTTGATACATTGAATTCCACTTAAGATATTTTTATTCAATTTCATACACAAAACGCACATAATTTTTAAACATATTTTTAAAATTATTCATAAGTTATAATCTTTAGATATGAACAGGAATATAGTTTCACTGCTAATTATTCTATAAGCTGTGATAAAACTCGCATTTTTGACAAATTATAGCTACTTTTTCTTGTGATTTTCGATTCGAGTCCTTTTTAATAGGAGTTGTGATAAGTTTGAAACAGCGGAAAGTGATTTACGATGCAATCATTGCTGCGATCGCACCGGTAGTGTTGTCAGTGGTAGTTGTGGCTCAGATAAAGGCCTGGGAATAGTTGTGTCGTAAAATGTTAATAAATTTGTTTTCTATCATATCTTTAACCATTTATTGCATTTGTTATCTATTGAACATGTTTTGAATTTTTACTCAAGAAATTTCACGCAATTAAAATCTAAAAATATTGATTCTAATGACAATAAAATACAAATATATTTTACAAACAACAAGAATTCGTTTATCATAACGTTTTCATTATAGATATACATTTTTAGTATATGTTGAATACAAACTGAGATTCTACTTAAAATTGTGTAAAAAGTTGGAAAACTAATTATTTTTAAGTTTTAAAATCACATTTCAATGTCTGTAGTGATTGGTAATAAAGTTATCACAATTTTAATTGTAACTCTAAATCATTGGATGCGAGAGAGAGAGAGAGAGAGAGAGAGAGAGAGAGAGAGAGAGAGAGAGAGAGAGAGAGA